CAGTGCCAAAGCAAGCCATCAATGTCCAGCTTCTTCTTGTGGCAATATTCTAAATATTCATCATCCTTTCTGATTAAGCACCAATCCACCAAAATGTAGAGACCTAAAGTATAAGTATAATCTATTCTTGATGTGAACCCCAAAAAGCGCAATAAGAACAAAGAGATTCAAAACCCCAAGGAAAGCCAAATAAGATTTATAGAAGACAAACTTTGACCTGTTATTTATATTGTAACAAGAACAAAAGATATAAAGGAATTTGATGCCACACTAAAAAAGGATTAAGAACAAGAGTAATAAATCAAATTAGAACATCACAAAAATAATCTTTGATAAGTTTTGTAAAGTTCACAAATGAACCAAGAGAAAATTTTCTCAAATAATCTCATATTCAATTAACCATCTCCAATTATGGTTACAACCCTTTAAATAGCTAAATTAGTCCAACTAAGAATAAGAAACTATATTTTGTACACAAATCCAATTAAAAGTAGAATTGGATGTACATTACTTCTAAAAATGTTTGAATTTGTGTTATTCCTAATAAAACACAAATTAGACTTTCAATTAAAAACAATTTTTAGCCCAAATAACTCGAAAAAAAAAAACACAAATTTAAGTGAAAATAACATAAAAATCGTTCAAAACAACTTAAAATAATGCAAAATATCAGTTCGCAACATTGTAACAAAAGTGTGCATTTGTGGTCGAATTGAGTGATTTCGATCCAAACTATGTAATTAAGTCAAAAAGACCTCAAATAAGTTGTTCTTGGACTTAAAAAATGTTAACTAAATCTTAACAATGCTTCAAGTTTTTATTCACTTCTTGTGTGTTACTTTTAGCCTAAATCTCCTCAATAAGCGCATTACAGCTTTTTGTATCTTTTTAATTCTTGCTTTCATTATCAGACTTCCATGAATATACAATGGTTCACTTGATGTCATATGTGTGCTGTCATCTTGATTCTCATCAATTTTGTTTGAACAATGTCACAGTTTTACACCCTAATTTGGGAAAATTCTATGTGGAGAAAATTGATTATAATCACTCAATGATCAAAGTTGTGGATCTTGATGTTAATCAAGGTAACTATTCTTCACTACCTCTCTATTCCCTTGGCATTGATAAGGTCACAACAGACAGCAATCCATATTACTTTCATCCTAAAGAAGCTCATCTTTTCCTAAACTGTGGAAAACCAGTAAATGATATTCGCTACATGGATGCTTCCTCTTGCATTGATGCTACTACTTTGTCCAAGTCTAAAAAGGTATTATTATGTTAAGATTGGAGGAACAACAGCATTTGAATTAGAGAAGTCATGCCAGATTGAGCTGATGGTTCTTTGTTCTTCAAGAGAGATGAGTGATAATAACATTACCTACCTAGATCTTCACCATCAGTTATCATATGGATTTTGAGCTTTGGTGGTTTCCCTGCCCTTCTATATGGATTGGTACATAACGAACATATGTTGCCTGTTGATTAAACACATGCAAATGCAACTCGCTGATTTTGGGTCCTTTTTTTTAAAATGAACTGTATGCAAATTCAATGTCTTGCTTCTCTCTGATTTTGGTATATGGTATCTATTGCAATTTTGGTCATGCATTACACTTATTTATCCTACACAGCACTCGTATTAGGTAATTAGAACCTTTCTCTTCTGGAGCTATTGTTTTTCATTTATCCATGTTGCACCGTCTTGAATCATGAAGCATGAAAAATTCAAGTACATTTGATGAGATTATAAGAAAAAAATATTAAGAACTCTAGGAGAAGCAGGCAATATTTATCGGATACTTTATTTCATAACCAATTATATCAATAAATATCTTTTTATACTCACAGATGTACTTCATGGGGTGGCATCTGCTCCTGCAATTCCAAGTTTCATCCTGTTTCTGTTATATAAATGGCAGAGAAGGCATTTATCTATGTATGATTCTATTGAAGAATTCTTGCAAAGTCACAATAACCTTATGTCAGTAAGGTATTCTTACTCAAATATTAAGAAGTTGACAAATGGCTTTAAGGAAAAACTAGGGGAAGGAGGTTTCGGCAAGGTTTATAAAGCAGTGCTTAAGAGTGGTGGTCTTGCTGCAGTCAAGTTATTGGGCAAATCCAAAGTCACAATCCAAGATTATTTCAGTGAAGTAGCAACAATTGGGAGATCTCACCATGTCAATGTGGTAAAACTTATTGGCTTTTGTGCAAAGGGTTCAAACCACGCTCGTGTATGGCTTCATGCCTAATAGTTCTCTTGATAAATACATTTTTACTAAGGAAGAAAGTACAACCTTGGGTTGGGAAAGACTATACAAGATTTCTCTAGGAGTGGCTCATGGGATTGATTATTTACACCAAGGCTGTGATATGCGAATCTAACATTTTTGGTCTAGAGAAACACTAGGATAGCATCATGTCCCTAACTGCAGGAAGAGGAACACTAGGATACATGGCACCTAAGTTGGTCTAGAGAAAAATTGGAGGTGTCTCACACAAGGCTGATGTCTATAGCTTTGGAATGTTGTTGATGGAAACAGCTAGTAGGAGAAGGAATTTAAACCCACATGTAGAGCATTCAAATCAAATTTACTTTCCGACATGGGTTTCTCAACAATTGAATAAAGGAATGGAGCTGGGAATAAGAGGAGCCACGGAAGATGGAAAGAAAATAGCTAAGAAAATGATCATTGTGGCTTGGTGGTGTATATAGGTGAAACCAAGTGACCGTGCTTCGATGAACAAAGTGGTGGAGATGCTTGAAGCAGATCTTGAAAGTTTAGAAATGCCTCCTAGGCCCTTCGAAATATATCCATATGCAACTGAAGAAGATGATGCTAAAATGAAAACCAACTCCACAAACCTTTCTAGTTACTCGTCCTATGATGATATAGAGATAGAATCAGAATCAGTCAGTTTAATTGAAAATGGAAATTAAGCAAAAGGTTGCAGAGAAGCCTAATTAAGTAGAGTTTTCTTTATTCATGAGTTACACAAAAACACGACATATCCATCCCCTTTTGCTGTCCACTTCTCACCCCACCTAGATGTCACAATGGCTCTAAATTTGCATCACGTTTTTTGGTGTTCAATTCTCAAGAAATGGTTAAGTTTCTTTCCAATTGATTAACTAACTGAGTTGCACCCACACAGACACACAGGAAAGAACACAAATAAAAACTAATAAATTGTAATTGGCATATATTACCTGAGGCATTAAGGCATCCATCCCATTGAGAAAAATCAAGCATTGTTGTCCTAGGCAGATGCATAATTCAAAGTTGGCCTGAGTGATTGAAAAAACATTCAGATGTGATGAAATGGGACTACATACAATGCGAAATTTGTTAGGGTATTATTTACATGACTCACTTGGAAAAATCCTGCATGTCAGAATCAAGAATCAAGCTCCATCCATGGGTGATGGCCTACCTTCCTAATGCATCAATCAATTCATCCTTAAATAATTGAATGTGATAGTCGATTCTCTCCATAAGAAGAAGAGGAACTCCGGATTACATTGGGGTTTCCTGGACGTACGTTGTAAAAAAAGGGATTGAAGAGAGCGATGTTGAATTTGGGTAGAAGGAGAAGAAACGGAACTGGGAGAGTGAGCAACGGAGAAGGAGAAGTCGGGAATCGCAGGAAACTAGAGATTTTTCGGTGAAAGGTGAACTTTGCGCGAGGGGGCATTTGCAGCATGCCAGCAATCCAGTGGGACTCAAGCGATCCGGAACCAAATTGTGCAGGATAATAATCCAATAAAACAGTAAGCAGTTAATTGTAATTTTGCACGGTTGTTATTATTATTATTTTTTGGGTAATATAGTGCATCTAATAAAATGTTTTTTTTTTTCCCTTTTATGTAGAGTTTATTCATATCCTAAGAATGGGAAAGTGTTTTATAGTTAAAATTATATTAAATTGTAAAATTTAAATTATTAAATAATATATACTCTTTGATATTAAATAATTTTTTCTTATTTAATAATTTTTTAATTTAAAATTATACAATAAAAAACAATGCCCTAGAATTATTTTACCCACTCCACTTGTATTTTATATAAAAAATAATGTCTATCAGCCTTACCTCCTAAAAATTAAGAGAAAAATCATTTCAAAACTACGTCGTTTTAATAAATTTTTATTGAAAAAGACTAAACTACATTATTTTTAAAGTATGCATTAAGATGATTTTTGTCATTTTTCCTCTTAATTTTTTGGAGATAAGGCGGACGAACACTAACCCCTTCTATATAACTCAAATTTAACATATTTTATTTTTA